CCAATTCGGGGTGCGACCAGAGTCACAGAACGAATTAAGTTCGTAAACCGAGGTTCCACTGGTACCCTTGGCCTAGTTACTCTCATCCTAAATTTAACAAAGGGAGATGGATAGTAAGAGAATGTCTTGTCCAACCATCCAAAGATTAGCTGGACAAATCCCAAAGGTGTCAAACAGGGAAGGGTTATTGGCTAGCACGCTTTGGATGGGTGGACAAGAGAGGGTGTGTTTAATTTGTCATTCCTTCATTTTCTAATGGACTTTTCTGGACCTCATCTACAGGGGTGGGAACTGGAGCAGGTGCCTCCATCTTTGGCTATCTCACCCGTTCTACCACTACCCAGGAGAGGTCCACGGTCTTCGCGGCTGTCATGGCATGCCGCCAAGTTGGGCTACTTATTGGTAAGGACTCCCCTTTTGACAGAACCCCCCAAGAACTGAAATTCTGGGCCTACGTTGGAGGTTTGCACTGCAGTGTTTTGTCACTGGCCTTCTTTACATTATCTAGGAGGACTTCTGGGAGGAGAAAAACAAAGAAAAATGTAGAAGATCAGTAATGTAGGCCCTTTGCCAGCACTGGATTACTCTGTCGAGGGAGTCTGTAGATGAAATTAAAATTGGCATGAAGAAAGCCAGTTTTAGAAGATAAACTTCTAATACTGGAACATCAGAACAGTTTTTGAACAAGCCTATGTGTGTAGCTGCTGCTCTTTCAATAAAAGCCCCTTTTTTTTTATTTTGAAGAGAGCAGCATAAGTAGCCACTAGAATTCATTATTTATATATTCTAAATTGCTTGGAAGTTCTAGGGCAAGTTGAGGAACCTGTGGCTGCCCAGGGGTTGAGTAAACCCCTAGCAGTTGCAGCCATCAGCACTAATAGTATTAGCATCATCAGGAGTAACCTAAGTTTCCCGGTCTTCCTAGATAATTTTTTGTGGCTTAGGGTCTTTTGTCATAGCTGAGTTATGGTGTTCACCCATCTGTAAGTCAGTAGAAAATGATGCAAACATGAAATTCACTGTCCCCATTGCCAGTTCCTGTCTTGATCACCTCTGTCCTGCAGTTCCCTGACTTTGCTTCATGGTAATGGTTGACAAAGGCTAACAGAGTTTACACATCTGTGGGCTGTTCTTAGGCAGTGTTGGAGTAGGGAGGAAAATGTTTTAATGCTGGCAGAAATAAGACAGAGTTAATTTTGTCTGCCTCCTGGATTGGGGACAATGAGGACAACCTCATGAGGACACAGCAGGAAATAGATGTTGCCAGGTTCCAGTGGGAACATGGCTTTTAGTGCATCTCCAAATAAATATAATTTTGTTGGAGTTGATGGGCCTATGCCCTTTTCCAAAGTTATAATTCTAGGACTAGTTAACTTTTGTACCTGTAATGTCCTGGCAGGTAAACAATGTGCCTTCTTCATATACTTGATCTGTCCTATTTGTTTCCAGGGCCAGCCTGTAACCTTTTCCTGCGCCTCTGCAACTTCCATCTGGGACCCTTTGTGGTCAATAAGTTTACATCCCCTGGGGTAAGTAACAGGAATTTTTTTTGAAGCACGGTGTAATCCAACATTTTTTAAATCCTCCATCGATGCTTGGGGCAGACAAATTGAGTGGGCAACTTCACCTTCCTCAGAGGAAAAAAAAATTCTCTCCCAATTTTGCTAGGGCAGGGCACTTTCTTAAGAAGGACCTTAGCATCGCTGCTGAAAAGCCTATGGGGAGAGATAACTCTTGATGTCTTTCCTTGGGGTTGAGTGGAAGGGTGGGAAGCCAGGGAGCTAACAGACCACTGGAGAGACGATTGTACAATGAAAGACAGAATGTTCCCCAACCCCCTGACCACCTCATCAGTATAGAGGGACAATAAGACTATCTTCTGCTCCTGAGAAGTTCACATTCTTTCAAGAACATTTCTTCTCACACTCCCCCCCCATGTTGTCATTGTTTAGACTTAAAACCATAAAAACAGTTAAAACAAGAATGTTAAAAATGAATTCAAATCCAAATTTTAAGTGGTCAACATTAAAAACCTGTTTAAAAAGATGCGCTTTAAAAGCCTTTTTTAAAAGCAAGATTTTAGATTCCTATCATAATTCTGTGCAAATCTACTCAGAAACAAGACCCCTTGGGTTCATGGAGATTCATCAAATAGTTACTTAATGTCTTTTGTGGGGTTTCTGCTATCAAATGCTGCTGCTGAATGTCTTAAATGCTGAATGCTGCTTCAGTGCGGTCTTAAAATTTCAGCAAGAGATACCTTGTTTACTTTGATGAAATGGAATAAAAAGACCTCTGGTTATTCATGGGCTTCCTTTCATTCCCTGCACTCAATTCTGTGCTATGCAAAAGTGCTGAGCGTCTTTTCATTCCTCTGTCCTCTGCTCTGACTCCTGTCCACAGCTCTTCATGTGCCTGGTGTGGATTCTGCTTCAGATTATTGTGATGACAATGTACTATGACATACAGCCACCGACTCACGCTGCAAGGACTGTCCCAACGGTGCAGCGGGATGTCTTGGAAGAGGAGGAGAAGCCACTTATATGGCATGAGGCTGGCCAAGAAGAAGCCACAGAAGGAAACTGCTATGGCAGCACCCCCGTGGGACCTCCCCAATCTTCCCTCGGTGACGAATGCCGATATGTGCCCAATGGACACTTGGCAGATGAAGAATCAGCTGAAGAAGAGAAGAACCCCTTTCATCATTTTAGCTCCATGAGAGGTGAGATGACCCTCATTTATGGCAGGCACTAGTGATGTCCTAGATGCCCAGGCTGTGGGCTGCCTCTGATCCCTTTTTGTAACCCCAAGAGTAGGAGGGGGGGAATTTTGACCTGTTTTTGTTTTTAAATGTTTAAAAGGCAAAATGGATCCATAAGCCTTGCAGAGATGTAAGCCACCTATTCTAGAAAGTTTCTGAAAATTCCCACCTGCACAATTGGGCTGATTTGTCTCATTTTGAGGATAAAGGATAAGGCATCCATATTATTCCTTAAATCAACCACTAGCCCACCAAAAAGGGCATACATTTTAGTCCTGTGCATTCCCTGTGTCATTAGTGACACCTCCAGTATTCCTTAGAGCAGTGTTCCTCAACCTTTGCAACTTTAAGATATGTGGACTTCAACTCCCAGAATTCCCCAGCCAGCCATGTGGAGTTCAAGTCCACATATCTTAAAGTTGCAAAGGTTGAGGAACACTGCCTTAGAGTCGGTCCTTCCTTCCACCCACCCAACCATGATGGCCTCTTGCAGATACCTGTAGATAACATAATCACCCAAATCTTACCCTGTACAAAGGCACAGACCAAAGAACTAAGGAGACCTGAAATTTGCTCTATCTCTGCCTTAAATACAGAATAATTCTAACACTTAGCATCGCATAAAAAAATACTTTCAAATGTCCAGGTGGGGCAGGATTAGATTTTAGATAGAGGCTGGTTCATTCCAATAGCGTGATCTGGTTACTGAATTACCCATTTTCTGTTTTCATATTAATATATTGAACCAGACAAGTTGGATTCAGTAAAATACAAAAACATAAATAGTATAGCTAACCAAGATTAAAACTACAGTAATGAAGCTTAGCACGTAAAGCAATGTAATTACTGAAAGTCAGTAGGAGTCTGGAAGTATGTTTTCCAACTAACAAATTTTATTAAAAGGCATAAGCTGTAGTTCAAGAAAGCTTATGCCTATTATTAAAATTTTTTAGGTGGAAAAGGCACTACCAGATTCCTGGTTTTTTGCTAACATGGCTTTCCTCTTACAATGTCTTTAATTACTGAATCAACCTATTTGGCATCCACATAATAAATTGAACTATAAACTAACCAGGTGAGCTGAGTTTGCACATGACACTAAATTTTAGAACAATTTCACAAAGTTTATACAAGGTCTTTAGCTAGGCTGGCTCAGAGGGTTGTGTGAATCCAGCCAGAGAGAACCTTGGATCTTTTCAAGAGGAGCTCTCAAAGAAAGACCAAGAGGGACAGCTTTAAGATTAACCCTTCATTTCTTTTTCCCCAGAGTAAAAGGGACCTCCTGCCTCCTCAGCCTCAGTGAGGCTCTTCCAGACCTGATGGTGGTTGTGTTTTCATTTCAGAATACTTGCGGGAGGAAGTGGTGGTTCTTCTCACCGCCCAGTTCATTACTCTCTTCAATCAAACGGCGCTGGAGGTAGGCCTTGTTGTGGACGTCGTCCCTGGGCTCATTTGGGAGATCTAAAGCAGAAAGTTGGAAGACTAACTTGAGCTTTTCTGCTTGTACTTTCCTTCCTTTGCTTCCAACGCCACATTCCCGAAGCAGGAATGTGGAAAGTTAGCGCTGTTCCCTCTTGCTTAAATCTGGAGGGTCCATGCAAGAGAGCATGGCCACAAATGGGATTGTCTTCCAGAAGGAAGGGGAGCAAGCTAGGGGAACTGTGAGGGGCCCAGCTAGATACCTTGGCTGGCTTCACCCAACACACTAAGTCCTATAGCTATGTTGACTAAAACATAATTTCTGTGTTCACAGAACATGGATTTAAGTATTCCTGCATTGAACAGGGGGTTGGACTAGATCAGTGTTTTTTCAAGCTTGGCAACTTGGCAGCATGCTGGCTGGGGAATTCTGGGAGTTGAAGTCCACACATCTTAAAGTTGCCAAGCTTGAAAAAACACTGATCTAGTCCAGCCCCCTGTTCAATGCAGGTATACTTAAATCCATGTTCTGTGAACACAGAAAGTATGTTTT